AGGAGAGAAACCCTTTGAATGTCCTGAATGTGGGAAAAGTTTTAGTCAGAATTCTGACCTGGTGAGCCATCAGAGGACTCACACAGGAGAGAAACCCTTTCAATGTTCTGATTGTGGGAAAAGTTTCAGTTACAATTCCAGCCTGGTAAGACATCAGAGAACTCACACAGGAGAGAAACCCTTTCAATGTTCTGATTGTGGGAAAAGTTTCCGTCACAATCCCAACCTGGTAAGACATCAGAGAACTCACACAGGAGAGAAACCCTTTCAATGTTCTGATTGTGGGAAAAGTTTCAATGAGAATTCCCACCTGCTAAGACACCAGAGGACTCACACAGGAGAGAAACCCTTTAAATGTTCTGATTGTGGGAAAAGTTTCAGTGAGAATTCCCACCTGTTGCTACACCAGGCAACACATTCACGAGAGAAACTGAATGTCCAGAGAGTGGGAAAAGTTTCAGTTACTGTTCTCATCTGATGAAACACCAGAGGACTCACACAGGAGAGAAACTCTTTGAATGTTCTGATTGTGGGAAAAGATTTAGTCAGAATTCCAACCTGATGAGACATCAGAGAACTCACACTGGGGAGAAATCGTAGTGAGTATCTAGATCAGAGGTCTTCAAACTTAGCAGCTTTAAAACTTGTGGACTCCCAGAATTCTCTAGCCAGCTATGCTGGGAGTTGAGTGCACAAGTCTTAAAGCTGCCAAGTTTGAAGATCTCTCATCTAGTGTCTGAAAATTTTCAGTTCCCATTCTAATCTGTGAAAATACCGGAGGACTCATATAGGAGAGAAGCTATATGTGTGTCTGGACTGTGGTAAAAGTTTCAGTTCCCATTCTGACTAGAGGACTCACAGAGGAGAGAAGCCGTATGAGTGTCCATATACTGTGGAAAGATTTTAGTGCTAGTTCTAACCTTATAAATTATGTAGTTTTACACACAGGGGAGAAACCTTTCATATGCCCAGTCTGTAGACGATACTTCAGGCGTAAATCATCTCTTATTGCACACAAGGAAATCCACATGAGGCAAAAGTTGATGAGTTTAGAGAAGGCCTGAAATTAGTTTGTGATCTCCCATTGAAAGTGTAGGTTAGAAATTTACTATTTGAATTCTGCCAGATTGTTTTTACTCAAATGTGTCTCAGGATTAAGCCTGTAGATGGGGAGAAGAAATGGAAAACGTTAGTTTTGCAATGGCCCTTAAGCAAATACTCCCAACCTTTTGTTCTCTCTTATGTAGCCGTTAAATAAATTTGTGAGTCGTTAAGCAGAACAGCTGTTATCTCAGGGTTGCAGACATAGCACAGGCCCAGGCTTGCCTTCCAAAGGCCTCCTCTACCCAAACTTTCCCTCCCCTCCAGGCATTTTCACTCCCACTGGGTCCCTGCAGTCTTTAGGCTTGACTCCCACCCCACCAGGCCTCATACCCTCCTCCGCCTTATCTTTTGAAGATCTCTGAACCTCAAGTTGGTGAAGAAGGCCAGGACACGCATCCCAGGGCCGGATGGCTATGTCCTGGAAGCAGCCGTTATTTTCAGTGTGCCCGGGATTCAACCCTGGGCCATGTGATGGACTTGTGGAAGCAGCAGCCATTTTGTCACACCTCCCTCAGGGCCAAAATGGCGGCTGCTTCTGAGTCATTGTTGTGTGGGAGAGGGAGAAACCGCTCTGTTTCGCTTCCTTAAACACTGTGCAAACTGCATTATGGGATTGTGGGTGCACTGAAAATGATGGCTGTCTCCAGGAGGTCTCCAAAAGGTAAGTGTTTGATGGGTGAGGGGCGTGTTGAGAATAGGCCCATTGAAAATAGCAATGTAAAATTTCAAATGAAAAGCTATTCTGCCTTGCAGATGAACCTGATGATGAAGAGCTGTAGGAATATTGAGCTGAGAAGAAAAGGGATCCTGGCTTTGATCACAGGACCTCCACGTTTATTTGCAAGTCCTGCCGGGATCTCTTTTTCTTGGAAGTGCCTGTTTGTTACCCTTTGATGGCTGCTGGGGGATAGCAGCACCAGATTGCTGACATAGTTGTTTTAACTGTATTTGGTGGTGACACAGAGAAAAAAATTGAACAGTGGAAAATCTTTCGTTTTTAATAATGCATTGTGTTGGAACTATCAGTAGCTTTTGACAAAGAAAAAATTGGGTAGTGTCAGTATTGCTATAAACGCTAGGGCCAGGCAAGACAGAATTGTCTCAAAGTGCGAGATGTGCAGTGAATAAATTTAATAATAAAATTCTAACGTAAAGCCCTTTTCTCAATTCTTGCTCCGTGTTGTGGTCTCCACACATACAGTTAGTTTCTAACACACTACAATATTTCAGCTACCTGTAATCTGTCTCTTGTGCAGTCTGCATCTCTATGACTAATCTGTCTTCCTCAGCTTCCTTTCCCTCCTCATTATAAATTTAAAATTTGAATCAATCAGTTTATTACAGTCTTAGACCAGAACAAATAAAAACACTCAGTAAATGTACAATTAAAAATTCTAGTATAAAATAAAAAATAACAACTACAATCTATAATAAAATCCAGTCTGTCAATTATATATGGTCTAACTGTACTAAAGTTACAATCCATAAACTGGTCAAAATTTGAATTTGAATTATATATCAATTCAGCCACTCTCTATCTCTCATGATGTGAGTTGCAGTTAGGCTTCTGCCTCTTAATTTATGGTTGCATTACTATCAGCCCCAGTCCTAAATTCTATGAACGTACGACATTTCTTTATGCACTGTTAAACAATTAGAATGGCTAAACTGTATCTGTTTGGATGGGCATTCAGATTTCCTAGTGGTGAGCCATCCATGGACTAACCTAGCACAGCTGTGCTTATCCCAGGACTTCTTTTAAAGTAGCTATTGAGCACCACTTGGGATGTTCAGATTTATAGACAGTCCTTGCTTACCTTTTCCCACTCAGCTTTCAAAGTTACAGTGGCACTGAAAAAGAAGACTTAAAACTTTTCCTCAAAGTTTTGACAATCACAGTTATCTGGAGGTGGCACTGGCTTGCATTTATGACAGTTGCAGTGTCCCAGAATCATGGACTCATCATTTAGAACCTTCACAATTGGCTTCCAACAAACCAAATCAATTAGAAATTGACAGGAAGTTGCAAGTCACAATCATGTTACATTGCTCTGTGCAGACCACCGTGATTTGTTTAATGACCATCACAGTTATTTGGGGGTGGCTATATTTCTTGATTCTCACAGGTAAAAAACTAAATGTCAAACCCCAAGCCTAGCAAACAAGGTGCCAGCTGTAACTGCAAGCAGGGAACAAAAGGGGCAATAGAGCTTATGCTAAGTAGAGGTTGGTTAAAACTCTGAAGCATTAAACAGGAAAAGCGGAGAGGGGGTATAGATTGAGCGCTTTGACAGGCTGCAGTGCTGAAAAACAAACAGCAAATGGGGGATTTGGGGGGAGATAAGCTGCATGCTTTAAACAGGAAAAGGGGAGGGGGGAAATGAGTCTGTGTAGAGAGATAAAAGGACTGACCTATGCCTTGTCACACATTCACCTTTGTTGCACCCTTATTTGCAAATACGTTAATAAAATCCTTTGCTACTTTCAAGTTATTGTCTCGGGTAATTCCATATGCAAACATGCACTGTTTAACACAACATCTATAGAAGAGGTTGTACTTGGCTCAACGGCAGTAACTGCGAGAGGGATCTAGGAGTTCCAGTGAACAATCACCTCAGGTATGAGCTAGCAGTGTGCTCCAGTTGCAGAAAAAGCCAATACAGTCCTAGTCTGCATCAACAGAGGGATAGTATCAAGATCCCATGAAGTGTCAGTACTACATTCTACCATACTAGTAAGGCTACACGTGGAATATTGCGTCCAGAGGAGAAGCACAGAGGAACTACTGGATCACTCATGGGAGGAAGGTGGCTTTTGTGCTCTTCCAAGGATTGAAACAGTAGCTGGCAGGTGAGTTGAGGGCAGGTGGGAAGAGCGTCCAGAAGCAAGTCTGGGTGTTTGGTTTCCTCCATGGTGTAAGAATCAGAGGGTATAGCATAAAATATAGAGTAACAGACTCAAAGGTGCTTTTTTTTCAAGAGGCAACTGGACTTTCTGGTTTTTCTTTGAATAAGTGTTCCTTGTCATCCAGGAAGCTAAACGTCTTCAAAGAAAAACCAGAATGTCCTGTTGCCTCTTGAAAAAAAGCACCTTTGAAACAGGTTGATATCTTTCCCAAGAGCAATAAACTGTGAGGGGGAATCTAGGAGTACTAATAGACGACGACTGAAGTACGAAATAGCAGTGTGCTGCAGCTGCAGAAAAACCCAACACAGTCCTAGTCTGTATCACTAGGGGGATAGTATTAAAAAATCAGTGTTAGTAACTGTTAGTTACTGCTGCACTCGAAATACTGCTTCCAGTTTCGGTTACCATGATACAAAAAGAGATGTTGAGACTCTAGAAAAGAGTAGGGGACTGGCGGCTAAAACATCGGATGAGCAGTTGCAAGAACTGGATATGTCTGACACAGAGGACTAAGGGTGACATGATAGCAGTCACATTAGCAGACACATTAAGAAGGGGTCAACCTATTCTCTAAAGTGCCTGAGAGCAGTAAAAGAAGTAACAGGGAGACTTATCAAAACCAAATCCTTCCTAGAATTGAGACGGTCCCTGTCCGTGAAACCAGTAAATCAGTGGAAAAATCAGCCTCCACAACTTTTGGGTACTCCAACAATGGGGTTTTTAAAGAGGAGACTGGACAGCTGTTTGCACAGAATGGTATAGGGCAGAGGTCTTCAAACTTGGGAGCTTTAAGACTTGTGGACTTCAATTCCCAGAATTCTCCAGCCAGCTATGCTATGCTGGCTGGAGAATTCTGGGAATTGAAGTCCACAAGTCTTAAAACTCCCAAGTTTGAAGACCTCTGGTATAGGGTCTCCTGCTTAGAGAGGTGGTCCCTTCCAACTCCTATTCAGTAATTCTGTTTGAACTTCATAAACTTTGAGGACTCGGCACGTAGCGAAACTTCACAAGCTAAGTAGTTTCACATTTCACTTGGCTCAGTTGCTGGGAGTCGAAAACGATTTAACAGCATGTAGTCAGTGAAAACATCTTGCAGACGCCTTAGGCAGAGACAGGACAAGCCTGTTTTTCGACCTCCTAGGTTGAGATGGCGGTCAGATAGGCAGCGTCCATGATTAGAGAGACAACATCACAAGAGCGCCATCTGTTGGAAGTAAAAAGACCTGAAACCATAGAGTACTGTATTGCTAGACAGGATGGGAGGAGCGCAGACGAACTTCCTCTTCCGGATCACTCATGGGAGGAAGGTGGTGGGCAGGGTAGTATTTGTGCTCTTCCAAGGATCAAAGCATCAGCTGGAAGGTGAGTTGAGGACAAGTCGGAGGGGTTCGGGTGCTGCCAGCCAATGCACATTTATGATGGTCGCAGCATCCCACCATCATGATCCCCATTTTTGACCTTCCCAGCTAGTTTCTCCTAGGCAAAGTCAGTGGGGGTGCAAGCGACAATCACGTGAAATTGCCTTTAACAACCCACAGTGATTTGCTTAACAACCGCAGAGGAAGTTGGCATGATGTAAATTGGCACTGTCATGTGACATCATGCTTCATGATCGGGCTGTTTAGTGACACAGATGCCAGTCCCAAATGTGAGGACTACTTGAATGGGGATGTCACAGTAGGACAGTATTTTTCTGTCCTTATTTGGAGCTGAGGATTTCTATGGGTATAACTGGTGTTTCAAATCTTGTAGAGGCTTTAGGCATCATTTCATCAGTTAAAGCCCTCACGTCTCTAAATTTAACTCAGAAGGTTTGACTTAACTATCTTGAGACGTTTTTTAGGCTGAAAACACATGGATTTTCCACATATATACATTTGTAGATCTGTGTACTTGTATTTATCCTTTCTATAATCTATATCTATAATTGTATAATCAGCACTTCCAGATATGTAGTCATGTGAAAAAGAAAGTATACCCTCTTTGAGTTGTGTGGTTTTACATATCAGAATACAGTAAAAATCATCCGGTCCTTAGAAATTCTCAAAGGTAGGTAAACACAACCTCAGATGAACAATATCTGCCATATCATGTCACCATTTTTTCTACAAAAAGAAAGGCAAAATAGAGAAGCCATATGTGAAAACCTAACACTTTATGATGTGGTATAGGGTTTCCTGCCTAAGCAGGGGGTTGGACCTCCAAGGTCCCTTCCAACTGTTATTCTATTCTATTCTATTCTATTCTATTCTATTCTATTCTATTCTATTCTATTCTATTCTATTCTATTCTATTCTATTCTATTCTATTCTATTCTATTCTATTCTATTCTATTCTACACCTTTAACAGCAAAAACGTCAAGTAATTGTTTTCTGTATAACTTGGCTGCTACTTCGCCTCTTCATACCTATGGAAGCGGTAAGGGTGTCCTTAGTTTTTCACAGTTTTTGGCTTCTCCATTTTGGGTTTCTTTTTGTAAAAAAAATGATGACATGGATGTAATATGTCATGTATTGTTCTTCATCTGAGGTTATATTTACCCATTTTTAAGAACTGCTAAGGACCAGATGATTTTTATTATGTGATGATATGTAAAATCAAAGAACTCAAAGAGGGTGTTCCTTCTTTTTCACATGACTGTATTTGATGATAACCCTTTGCAGGGCTCAGAATTTGTGACTGAGCCAAGTGAACAAGTAAATTTCATGCATGAATGGATATTTGAACTTGGATCTTGGTAGTCAAATGAATCATAATTAATGCAAGAGATTATTTTAGCATTGTGGCATTTTTGCTTTTCACTTATATACTCTTTTTTTTCACACATTTTGCAACCATTTTATAAAGTTACACTTTTTTTTGAAACTTATAGACAAAGAGGATGGCAATAAGAGCACTCTGGATGACTGAGAATAACAAGCAACATTGAAAAGGAAAGCAAATCAAGTCAGAAATCAAAGTATTTTCCATTTCCTTCAGAAAACCACACAATTCTTCTCTGTCCCCAACAAGTGATAGACAAAAAAGAGAAAACTAAGAAGAGATTTCGAGCTGGAAAAAGTAGAGTGCAGAACTCAAGAATACATTACATGAAAGGTCAAGGGACATTATTTTTTCATTCAGAAAAAGAGGGAAATATCTGGAAGTCAGTGGGGAGAAAAAGGTCAATTGGATAGTCACATAGGGCAGACAGTAATGTAGGCCTCGCTGTGGGAGGAAGAAAATTACCACTTAATCAAAGCATCACAAAACAAAGGATCATCCATATTTTTGACCTCCTCAGGAATATTGATTGTCCAGGAATTGAATAGTCACATAGTATGCTGTGCAACTTACGTATAGACATATAACTGTGGTTTAGTGGGGTATTCCACTGCAACTCCCTTCACCAAAAACCCAGAACTGTCCCAATTAAGTCCAGTGACAAGCAGATCAGTGCTAGTCTACAGTGCAATAGCCAATGAGTACACAAGGCATTTCCCCATCAAAATAAATGTACCAGGCAAAATTAAATCCACAATACAAGAGGGTTCACGAGGCAAGAAAAATCGAATTCACAAGGCATGATCCAAATCAAGGCACGTGTCAGTGGAAAGTGAGGCAAGAGTCACACCAACCAGAATGAACACATTCCCAGCATCGCTTCCATCTTTGTGCTGTGCTAAATAGCCAGCTTCCGTTGCAGCCCTTATAAAGAAGGGCAAGGTATACCAAATAGCTTTTCATTGAAAGTATTATATAAAAATAGAAATGTATGAATACTGTGAGGGGGGGGGGAATTTTTTTTTTTTTCCTAAGGGGGTTTGAGGGGTTCAAGTTTTGTAAAAAGGGGACTTTGATGGGATTATACTTCATGGAAGTCAGGGGGGAGGGCTAGGGGGGGTTTGAGGGGGGTTAGGGTGGGGAGCGGGGGGTGGGATGGGGGGGGAAATGCGGTGAAAATGTAATTGTAAAACTTTTGCAATAAAAAAAAAAAAAAAGAAGGGCAAGGCTTTCTCCTCACGAGTAATCTGGCTGACCTCTGCTCCTGCTTTTTCTCTGCCTTGGATTAGGTGCAGAAGGCAGTTCCTCTTCCTCCTCACTGACTGGCTGCATGCTTTCCCCAACAAAAGCCTCAGGACTCCTGCTGCAGCTGTGCTTCAGCCAAATCTTTCTCAGATGACTGATTGGAGCCATAGACCAACTCCCTTCCAGATGTGGCCAGAACTGGTTCATCTTCCTCCGAAATGATATCTGAAGAGTGATCTGGGAAAGTATCTGGAGGACTCATCACAGGCAGACAGTAATACAGGCCTCGAACTGGGAGGAAGAAAACAATAGGTGCAATCAAAGCAAAACTAAATAAGGGATCATGCATATTTTTGGCCTCCTCAATAATATCAGTGCTGGATGGATCAGCTATGGATCAGTCCATAGATGTGCCTACTGTGGGGAAAGCACAGACTGCAAATCACAACTGATTATGCACAAGAGGATCCACACTGGAAGAAAGCCATATTAATGCTATGAATGTAACAAAAGCTTTCGTCAGAATAGTTCTCTTGTGGTTCATAGAAAGACCCACACAGGACAGATGCCCTATAACTGCTCCCAATGTGGTAAATGCTTTCGCAAGCATGGCAACTTGGTGATACATCAGAGGACTCACGCCAGGGAGAAACCATGTGAGTGTCCAGTTTGTGGGAAAAGTTTCATTGCAAATTCCCACTTGGTGATACACCAGAGGACACACATAGGAGAGAAACCTTTTGAATGTTCTGATTGTGGGAAACGTTTTGGTAACAATTCCAGCTTGGTGACACACCAGAGGATTCATACAGGAGAGAAACCCTTTCAGTGTCATGATTGTGGGAAAGGTTTCAGTCAGAATTCCAATCTGGTGATACACCAGCGGATTCACACAGGAGAAAAACCCTTTGAATGTCCTGATTGTGGGAAAAGTTTCAATCAGAATTCCAACCTGGTGATACACCAGAGGACTCACACAGGAGAGAAACCCTTTGAATGTCCTGATTGTGGAAAACATTTCAGTCACAATTCCAGTCTGGTGATACATCAGAGGATTCACAAGGGAGAGAAATCATATAAGTGTCCTGATTGTGGGAAAAGTTTCAGTCATAATTCCAACCTGGTGAAACACCAGAGGACTCACATAGAAGAGAAACCATTTGAATGTCCTGATTGTGGAGAAAGTTTCAGTCAGAATTATCACTTGGTGAACCATCAGAGGACTCACAAAGGAGAGAAATTGTATGAGTGCCCTGATTGTGGTAAAAGATTCAGTTACCATTTTAACCTGGTGAACCATCAGAGGACTCACACAGGAGAGAAACCGTACGAGTGTCCACATTGTGGGAAAAGTTTCAGTTACCATTGTAACCTGGTGATACACCAGAGGACTCATACAGGAGAGAAACCATATGAGTGTCCAGAGTGTGGGAAAAGTTTCAGTCAGAATTCTAATCTTGTGATACACCAGAGAACTCACACAGGAGAGAAACCCTATGAATGTCCTCATTGTGGGAAGCATTTCAGTCAGAATTCCCAACTACTGATACACCAGAGGACTCACACAGGAGAAAAACCATTTGAATGTCCTGATTGTGGGAAAAGTTTCAGGAAGAATTCTGACCTAGTGAACCACCAGAGGACTCACACTGGAGAGAAACCATATGAGTGTCCAGTTTGTGGGAAAAGTTTCATTGCAAATTCCCATCTGGTGAAACACCAGAGGACTCACACTGGAGAGAAGCCATATGAGTGTCCACAGTGTGGGAAAAGTTTCAGTCAGAATTCCAACCTGGTGAACCACCAGAGGACTCACACAGGAGAGAAATCCTTTCAGTGTCTTGATTGTGGGAAAAGTTTCAGTTACCGTTCCAATCTTGTGATACACCAGAGGACTCACACAGGAGAGAAACCCTTTGAATGTCCTGACTGTGGGAAACGTTTCAGTCTCAATTCCAGTCTAGTTATACACCAGAGGACTCACACCGGAGAGAAACCCTTTGAATGTCCTGACTGTGGGAAATGTTTCAGTCAGAATTCCCACCTGGTAATACATCAGAGGTCTCACACAGGAGAGAAGCCCTTTGAATGTCCTGAATGTGGGAAAAGTTTCAGTCAGAATTCACACTTAGTGATACACCAGAGGACTCACACAGGAGAGAAACCATATGAATGTCCAGAGTGTGGGAAAAGTTTCAGTTACGCTTCTGTGCTTGTGAAACATCAGAGGACGCATACAGGAGAGAAACCATAAAAGTATCTAGATTGTGGGAATGATTTCTGTATTAGGCCTAAGATTATCAGCCATGTACTTTTATACACAAGGGAGAAATTTCAAATATCCAGTCTATAATCTTTCAGGCATAAATCACTTCTTATTGCACACAAGGTAATGCACATGAGGCAAAAGTTGATGAGTTTAGAGAAGGCTTGCATTTCATTTCTGATCTATTGGGAGATGAATGGCCAGAATTCTGCCCTGATTCTTTTTAGTCAACACATCTCAGGAATTGGTGGAGAGAGAAAAAAATGGGAAATGGTAGGCTGTTAAAAGCCAGCTACCTGTTTCTGGTAATCAGCAGATGTTTCCGGATATTCCCTTTTGCAGAACCTGTGAAATTGCTGCAAAGAGGCTTTTGGGTGGTGTTTTTTATACATTGATTATGGAATTCCCACATTTCAGCCTTCTACTGTGGTGTCCTCTGGATTTTGAGCCCCAGAATTCCCTAGCCAGCATTCAAGTAATTCTCGAGATACAACTGTAATGGGGGCTGCCAGTTACGGTTGAGATCCTGCTTTGCTTAATTAACCCTTCCCCCTGCTCTTATTGATGTAGTTAAATACATGTGCGAGTTATGGAGCGGAACACTGGCTACCTCAGATTTGGGAGAAACACTTGGAAGAGGGGCGCAGGGCCAGGCTTGCCTTTCAAAGGCCTTCTCTACCCCAATCCTTGGGTCCCTCCATTACAGAATCCCCTTAGGCCTATTACTCCCACACAGTGTCCCCCAGGCTTTCCCAAATAGGACTCACTAGGCCTCTGCCACAGGCTTTTTTCCCCACAGGCTTTTTTCCTCTCCTGCTGGGTCCCTGTAGTCCTTAGCCCCGATTCCCATCCCACCAGGCTTCAAACTCTCCTCCGTATCTTTTGAAGATCTCTGATTCTCATGTTGGGGAAGGAAGCCAGGACACGTATCTCTGGGCCTCGTGACTGTGTTCCGGAAGCAGCTGTTATTTTCAATGTCCCTGTGATTCATCCCTGGAGTGGACTTGTGGAAGCGGTTGCCATTTTGCCACACCAGCTTCGGGGCCAAAATGGCGGCTGCTTCTGGGACATAGTCATGAGGGACAGGGAGAAACTGCTTTTTTTGTACCTTAACACTTTAGACCACGTTAAGGAATTGTGGGTGCACTGAGAATGTCAGCTGCCTCCGGTAGATCTTCAATAGGTGGGATGGGTAAAGGGTGTGTGGGTAGTAGGCCCAAGGCCTAGGTAAAAAAGCAATGTAAAATTTCACATGCAAAGGCTGTTCCACCTTGCACATCAACCTTATGGAGACGCCCTCAATATTGAGTTGAGGAGAAAAGGGATCAGGGTTTTGCTCACAGGGTCTCCAGATTTATTAGCAACTTCTGTGTGCTCTTGATGATAGCAACACTACGATGCTGGCATATTTGTGGTACCCCCCCCCCCGGTGGTGGCAATTTGAGAAAAGGAATTACAGTGGAAAATGTTTCATTTTTAAAAATGCATCATGTAAGAACTATTAATAACCTTTTACAAGGAAAAAAGGTATTGTCAGTGTTGCTGTGAATATTATGGCAAAGCAACACACTTAGAGTTCCCTCAAACTGCAAATAAGTTTATTAATAAATACATTTAATAATAAAAAGGTGATGTAAAAGCTTTTTCTCAACTCTTGCTAGGTGGCGAGATCCCCATACATATGGTTGTTTCTAACTCACTACAATTATTAAGTTACCTATAATCTGTAATCTTCTTTTCCGCTGATCTATTGAAGGCATCATACACTGGAATTCTTTCCCTCTGTGAAAATCATATGTTAAAAAACTATTTCTGGGTGGGGCAGGGGGAAAAAAACCCTCCATCTTTGTAGTTGTTCCCCTTTTTGGCCAGTATAAGCAAAACTTTGCCAAATTCCATATGTGCCAACTATAAGGCTTTCCATTTCTTCTAGAGTGTGGAATCTTCCTGTTAGCTGCCTTTAAAGGTGATGCACAACAATCCTTGGTTCATGTGTGAATGTGCAATCCCCAAACCTTGTCAAGTGTGTCAGAAGAGAATCTTGCTGAGGGAACATACAGTCTCTTTCCACCAGGCAAAATTACAGGTAGTCCTCAACTTATGACCACAATTGAGCCCCAAATATTTCTTGTTAAGTGACACATTTGTTAAGTGAATTATACCCCATCTTATGAGCTTCCTTGCCACAGTGAATCATTGCAGTTGATAATTTAGTAATATGGTTGTTAAGTGAATCGGGCTTCCCCATTGTTTTTGTTTGTTTTATGTTCTATGTTTTATTAAATTTGTATACCGCCCTACTTCCGAAGGACTCAGGGCGGTGAACAGGCACAGAATAAAATACATAAATACAAAAGTTAGAAACATAATTAAAACCAAATTAAATAATTTAGCCCAAGACAATTAAAAATCCCAATAATTTAAAACAAATTAAAATTTCAATTTAAAATTTAAAAGAAAGGGGAGAAAATTAGGCCAGGCCGGCTTGCTGGAATAGGAGGGCCTTAAGAGCACGGCGGAAAGTGCACAGATCCGGGATCCTCCGTATCTGGGGGGAGCTCGTTCCAGATAGTGGGTGCCCCCACAGAGAAGGTCCTCCCTCTGGGAGCCTCCAGTCGACATTGTTTGGCTGACGGCACCCGGAGGAGCCCCTCTCTATGAGAGCGTACCAGCTGGTGGGAGGCTGTTTGTGGTAGTAGGTGGTCCCGTAAATAACCAGGTCCTAAGCCATGGAGCGCTCTAAAGGTGGTAACCAAAACCTTGAAGCGCACCCGGAAGACCACCGGAAGCCAGTGCAGCTCGCGCAGGAGAGGTGTCACACTGGAGTGCCATGTTGCTCCCATAACCACCCGCATGGCCGCACTCTGCGCCATTGATTTGGCTTGTCAAATGGTTGCAAAAGGGGATCACCTGACCTTCGGACACAGCAATGGTCATAACTATGAACCAGTTGCCAAGCTCCGGACAGCCCCTGATCTCCGTTCCTTCCGCAAATATCTTAAGACCTGGCTTTTTATTCAAATTATCTGATCTGGTTGGGTTTTTTAGTTAACTCTGGGATTTTAAATTGGATTTTTAATGTTATTTAGTGATATTGTTTTTATTGTCATTTTATACTTGTGAGCCGCCCCGAGTCCTTCGGGAGAAGGGCGGCATATAAATTTTAATAAAATAAATAAATCTGAATTTTGGTCATAGGGATGCTACCAAGGTTGTAAGTGTGAAAAATAGTTATGTCACTTTTTTTCAGTGTTGTCGTAACTTTGAACAGTCACTAAATGAACTTGTAAGTGATGGACTGCCTGTATTAGCTTAGTTCCTTTCCAGATACACTATTAAGATCTTAACATCTGGGTAGCTTTCAATGACCAGGATTAAACCAACATTGAAAATGCAGGTAATCCTTGATTTACAACTGTAATTTAGCCTGCAATTACAGTCCTAAGTCATGATGGTCATTAATGGGTCTCCACACAATGTGCCCAATTCTACAACCTATTTTGTGGCAGTTGTTAAGTGCATGCTACAATCAGTAAACGAACACATTGTTCACTAGGGATATAAGCATGGGTTTCTGGCAAAAATGTAAAAAATGATCATGTGATTGCAGGATGCTATGAAAGGCCACAATTGCAGGCTGGTTGCCAAGCTCTCAAAATGTCATGTGACCCTGAGTGGAGCCCCCCCCCAGTCCTCAGAAGTTCAAATCTGGGTCATAAGTTGTTTTTTGAATGGTTGCTAAACCATGCTGGTCGTAAGATGAGGACTATCTGTAAGTCACAGATTTGGTGTTGTCGCAGTTCTGTGTCTACCATCTGCACAGCTATAGAACAGCAATATTCTCAATAGCAGTAATTGCAAGAGGGATCCTGGAATCCTAGTGGACAATCACTTAAATGTGAGCCAGCAGTTGTGTGGCAGCTGTTAATAGAGCCAAGGCAGTGGTGAGCTGCAGTAACAGAGGGATAGAATCAAGATCGCGTGAAGTATTAGTATCACTTTATAAAACCTTAGTAAACCACATTTGCAATATTGCATCCAGGGTTTTGTTGTTGTTATTTTTTAATACAAATAAAACAAACATAGCACATACACATCTAAATACAAAAAAAGAAAGAAAATAAAAAGGGGTAAAAAATATTATAGTGCACCCCCACCCCAGATCATTCCCCCCCCCTTATATTTCTTCATCTATAACAACTAAAAGATATACAATATATTCCAATTGTGCCCTTATCCTAAGGTGACCAGATTTTAACATTGGTAAAGAGGGACACCATTGTGGGCGTGGTTTATTTTGTGGGCGTGGCTTGGAGGTCATGTGACTGGGTGGGCGTGGCTAGCTGGTCATGTAACCGGGTGGCCATGGCTATGTGTATAGGGACTACTCAGAGAGCTGAAAAAAGTCATTTCTGACAGGTCCTCACACTTTTGACTGGTCCTCACACTTATGACCATCCTCACATTTATGCCCGTGCAGCATTCTTAACAACCATGTCACTCATTTCACAACTGCTTCTCTTCACCATGGTGATAAGATAGGGCAAAAAAAGTAAAATGTGAGGACTGTCGTAAGTTCGAGGACTGGTCAAAAGTGCGAGGACCAGTCAAAAATAACTTTTTCAGCCCTCTGAGTAGTCCATATGCACAAAAGGACTAACCAGAGGGCTGAAAAAAGTCATTTCTGACAGGTCCTCGCACTTTTGACTGGTCCTCACACTTATGACCATCCTCACATTTATGCCCGTGCAGCATTCTTAACAACCATGTCACTCATTTCACAACTGCTTCTCTTCCCCATGATGACAAGATAGGGCAAAAATGTAAAATGTGAGGGCAGTCGTAAGTTTGAGGACTGGTCAAAAGTGCGAGGACCAGTCAAAAATAACTTTTTCAGCCCTCTGAGTAATCCATATGCATAAAAGGATACAG